ATAAAAATAGTTATTATGTGGTAGGCAAAGAGTTCCTATTCTATTCTTTTTTCCTAGTAACATTTTACACTCAAACACACTAAGTGGTCAATTAAGCAATTGTGTTATGAAGAACAATTAGCTTACTAATATAATTTCAGAACCATGGCATTTATATTGGCACAGACCTTCACTATGGATTCTGATATAAGCTCATTTTCTGACTCAGGGCTGGACCTGCTAGAGATCTGGTTGGTGCTGCAGCGAGAAATCCCATTAGTGACATGTTCATGAATGTCTTTAAGATGAACCTTGTTTCTGAACTGTAGGATGAAAATTGCAGGATATTGCTCTGACTGTGGCAATGATCCCTGAGCTCTTTTAGCAAAGCAATCCATCAGCATCCACAGATCAGAGGGGAACTTAAATTGCACGCATCATCTACCACCCAATAAACACTAACACGTAATAATAAGAAAAGTTGAAGTGCGGGTTTGTAACTACAGGGAAATAAGATGGATACTAAAAAGGAGAGGAACATGTGAGTTTTTTCTCTTAACAGCTACTTCTGTCTGCCTTCTTCCGAAGTTTTATTTCCATTGCACTCTCGTACTTTCATCCTGATGACATGGCTATTATTTTATAGCAGTTTCAAGCAGTTAATTAATGAACTACACACAAGTGACATGACACCACCTTGCCCAATTATCTCTAGCATCTATTTTTACAGTACTAAGCACTGCTGCTTTGTGAATTGTCTTGTTCGCAAATTGGCTCAGGAGGCAGTTACTTTAATAGCCAAAACAATGCAACAGTAGTGCCACACTGGTGACATGGAGTAATTGTAAATCACCATGTGAGATCTCATAAAGCTCACCATAAAAGCCTGGTGATATCATGTAATAAAAGTACTCTTTTCTACTGAGTTAAGCAGCTATCGCTCAATTTACCATGTAATCTCATGAGCCCTAGGCTCATTAGCTCATCGAGGACGGGATATGGTATGAGGGTGTCCCGACCGCAAGGAACCAAAGAATCACTGAGAATTTTTCCCTTTTTAAAAAATTTCCAGGGTACATTTTATAAAATGCAGAAACCTATATTGCTGGGTGGTTATCATTTGCATTTGTTCAAACTGCTTTATTTTCCCCCTGCTTTTTCTAAACCACTCTGTTCCCTGCCTGGTCACAGATCTTTTAACACTCTCAGACCCAGGATCTTTTGAACCAAGTTGTCTTCAGAGAACTTGGCATATTTATAGAAAATTTTTTTGATTAAAGTTCACATTTTAGCATGAGAAAAATATTACATGTGTAAAATACCACAAGTTCTATATCCAGAAACAAAATGTTAGTTTGAGCAAGTCAAGGTTAAATTTTACAGTTAAATTTTTGCATAAGGAAAATTCACCATGGTAACAATATACTTATGTGACATTAATAATAAAAAGTCATAGGAATGGTTTTGTGCTTGATACAGTCATAGAATGATTTTCTTTCACTGATATTATTAAAACCTCAAAATTTTGTCATCAAAGTTATAAACCTAGTTATATATAACATATACTATGTATACAAACAGTGGCATAATCCATATCATTTATAACAAATTTTTATGCGTCTATATATCTTCAGAAGTCACAAGATAGGATTAAAAATATATATATCATTAAGATTATTTGTAAAACTGAATTATTTACAAATATGAAGCTTTGAATATTCTGAGACTATTAGCAAAAAAAAAAAAAAATAGCCACACATGCTATATTTAGCTCAAACTACCTTTCCTCTTTGTTATATACTAATTTCTTATCACTTTCAAATATTTCTGCCTAATCTATATTCCCTTTGAGGGTTTTTCATCTATATCACAGGGTTTTTTGCTTGTAAAAGGTATTTACCGAGAGCTTTTCAATGAAAACTACTGAATCTTTGCTTTTGTAAATACCTTTTACACTTGCAGGAAGTCACTACAAGAGACTATACATGAGAACAATGTGATGGATTTTTGAACCCTGTCTTTGAGCTTCAGAATAGTTTTTATTTTTAAGAGAAAAAGAAACAGAAAAATCAAGAAGCAAACAATTAAAAATAACAAAATGATGACAACAATAACAACAAACAAAGAATAGATTTTTTTAAAAACAGCGAAAATGTTCAGTTCTGTTACTCATTATTTGTCCCTGATTGATTTTATCTTTTAAAGCAAAACAAATATTAAGTGCCAGATATTTATTAATTCTCAGAGATTTCTGTCTAACTCCAAAATCTAGTCCACCGGCAAAACAGCTGAAACTGTACATGTAAATATATTGAGGATTCTGATGGTGGAGCAGAAATGCTGTTGAAGTGATATCTGCATTGAAATAGACATATAGATTAGTAAAACAAGTTGTTTGAAGCATCTAGAACTTTGCATTTCAGTTTTAAGATACTAGTTAAAACTGCTTAGAACCACTATGCTATGGTAGTACCTTGAATGATTCTTCCACAGTGAAACATTGTTATGAAGTTTATTGATTAAAGAAAAGTCAATGTAAGATTGCATTTATATAGGTTATAGAATAACTGAATGTGAAAAATATGCACACTTAAAATATTGTAAAATGTGTTTTACTTATTGAGAATCCTTTGGGAATAAAGAGATCAACAGGTATTACTTGGTTAATTCAGAGTTCCATATCCATTGCACTCCACAAATGCAGAAAACTTCTGTGCTTTCAAAATATTTGTTGACAATCTGTACCTATGATATATATATGTGTGTGTGTGTGTGTGTGTGTGTGTATGTCTTCTAACCCAATTGATCTTTATTTTATAAAATGTCACATTAAAAACATTTTTGAATAACCTGTGTTCTGCATTTTTTCCCAGGCAGCCACCAGAGGTAGCAGATGATAGCTAAAAGTGAAAATAATTTACTAATTTATTTTGTCAATGTCACATCAAGTATTAATACGCTTGGCCAAAATAAATGCCTGAGAAGATAAACACCCAATTGGATTAAATAAATTGACAGCTGATTATTGACTGAAGGAGGATAGATTTCAGGAAGAGGATCTGTAAACACAGATACCCTCTTACACATGTCCAGAATGTGATATGGGCACATTTCTATGCCATGCTGTATTTTTTGTGCCAGCCTTGGAGAACAATGTCACAAGAATGTTGATGTGATAGAATGTGAGTGGGGGGAGCTCTTACAACTATCAAGGATGGTAACAATTATGCATGATTTATATACTTCTGGAAGCAGGTTAATATATTTTGCTGTTATCAGTCATAAAAACAAAAGCAGAGTGAAAAAATTAAATTATGTATCAGAAACTCCACATGACTAAATATTAGCCTAAATCTGAAATATTTGGAGATTCAAGCAGGGAGGAGGAGATGGCTTCATTTAAGGACATCTGTGCTGGGAATCCGAGGAAGAGAGCCAGGTAGGGGTAAAGTCACATGTATCCTGCCCTACTGGATCCTCTCCTTGTTGATTTTTCCCAATCACCCCACATTTATGTCCATTCAGCAGACATATTCAGGAGGGTACTTTGTGCCAGACAATATTCCAGCCCTTGGAGTGATGAGGGGAGCTCTGACAATGTCCTTGTACTAATGGGTTTGTGTCAGTTTCTCATTCTGGATACAACTGACATTTTAGTACAGGTAATTCTGTGCTGAGTGAGTTTCCTGGCACATTTGTGAGTTATTCAGCATCTCTTGGACTTTTACCCACTATAAGCCTTTTACCCACCTAGGCTGTGACTCTTAAGAACTATTTCCAGATGCCACCAAATGTCCTCAGGGAGACCAAAGTGCCTGAAACTAGAAACCACTGACCTATGTCACAGTGGAAGATGACCAACAGTGAATCAACAGACAAATAGCATAATTGCACATAGTAAGATACAGAACAGGGGACAAGTAACTGGGGAGAGTGGGGAGGAAGACAAGTGAGTTGGTAGAGAGTACTTAAGCTATGGAGCCTTCTAAAGAGACACTTAGAAGATTCTGACTGATGTAAAATATCAGTGACGGAGTTAGAGAAACAAAAGTAGCAAAAGCAAAGGCCTTCGATGATAAGATGGCAGGTCAAGAGACAGTCCTCCAGTTGTTCATGGTTCTGCAAAACTATGAAGCCAGCCAGATCTGACAGTTTTCTGATCCCAGTTCTCTTGCACCACTCTGTTAATGTATTTTTAGTTTGGACTGGAGAGATAACATAGTGCTGGAACACTTGCCTAGCACGTGTGGGGTCCTGCATTTGGTCTCCAGCACAGTATCCCCCTCAAAAATTTCTGCCTTTAAATACCCTAAGGTGGAATTATGACTTTCTGCAGAGGAGTGATCTGAATCCACACCCAATAAATATCAGTGGCTGGTTATGGTTAAGGGTATGAGAAAAAAGAGTTGATGATATTAACTATTAATAGAGATATAGACAGGACACACAAATTTCTTACAGCAAACACAGGATATTAATGTGTAAAATTTTAATATGATAATCTGCATTTCTTCCCTTTTCCATTTGTTCCTTGAAAATATATGCTATCACAGACATTTTCTGTCCCCAAAGAATAAGTTTTATAGGAAATCACACTGGGTAGTATATGAAATTAGAAAGACTTTTCATCTGATAATAATTCATCCTAAAATACAGTGTATCTTTGACACCATGAATTAAAATATATGTTGACAAAGAGATATTGCCTTTTACACTAGGTAATATACTTGTTATGGATTTATGGTTTGTACATAATATTAAGTGGCCCGGACAGAGATATTTCATTGAACCCTTGGGGAAGACTGTAACTTATGTATCCTGCTGACTTATGTTTTCCATGGTTCCTTAATAAGATTTATGGCATATTTAGTCTTTGATTTTTTAATTATAATTGGCAGGTGTCCCTGAAGTTGTAAAGCAATTAGAAAGCCTGTAGTTATTTTCTTATAACAGCAGGTCTGGTGGGGTTGATTTTTCTAGGGTGTTTATCATATCCTAGTTCTTTCCATTTATCATTCCAGATTGGATCCCTGAAGGATAGTATCCTAGCTATGGCTAGTACCTCCAGGCAGAGAGGAAGATAAGAAACCCAGCGAATACACGGGGTAAGTTTATTGCACATGAGATTTGCCCATCAGCAATAAAATTTAACACCTTGCAGTATGAGACTGTCCACATACTGTCACTAAAATTGAAGGCCACTTTGCTTTTAAAAGCAACCACAAATTTTAACTCTTGTTACTTGAAGTCTTTATTTATCCTGAGATAGTAAAATGTTCCATAATTGAAAAGCTCTTTAAGTAGATAAACCTCTTTTATTTTATGGAAGAGGATTTTTAGATATCTTAAAACAAACAGAAAACTAAGTCTGTTTTCTTAACTACCTCTACAAAGACTCTTTGATTTTTTTTAAATCAGGAAAGACTTTTATGATCGTCAAAATATATTACGTTTATGGGTTTTTTTTTCTAAAAAAGAAAGATACCTCAGGTAATCATTCATAGTATTTGTAATTCACACAAATATTTGTAAATGGACAATATCATGATATATGCTAAATGTTCTCAATAGAGTAATTATTCAATGATTATTTATTGGTATTTTCCTATATGTCAAATATAAGATATACTGAAAGAAAAAAAAAATATATATATATAGTTTCTTTCCTCAGTTAATTTTAAGCATTTATTTATTCAATAAATATTTACTATAATATTCTTGCTTCTCTTGTACACTGATAAACAAGACAGGCAAACCTCTAAATTTGTTGCAAGGCATTAAAAACTAAACAAATAATTACGTAAAACAATGAAAAAAATAAATCAAAGGAGATATAACACACATTTTAGAGTCTTCTATAGCTCCCTTTTTGTTAATTTAAGTGTTATAAAGAATAATGTTCATTTTAAAGAAAATGAGAAATCTGAGTCAGAATAATTTGTTCTGATATTTTGAACTGCTTGATGGCAAAGAACAACAATGTGATAGAAGTAAATAAAATAGATGTATTGCATCAAGTAAAATATTTGAAAATAAAAGATAGTCAAGTTTGAGTATGGGTAAGAATGAAATAGGGAGAGAAAATAAAATCAAACTGAAGAGATTCCTAGAAAAGCCAATGCTTTGTGACAGCAAGGACTCACAGACATCATATTTAGGCAATCATACTTAAAAAGTTTCTCTTTTCAGGGCCGGGAATTTGGTTTAGTGGCTCAAGCACTTGCTTGGTAAGCATGAGGTTGTGAGTTGCGTCCTTGGTACCAAAAACTAAAATATTCTTTTTTCATTTATTCTTTCAATAATTCATTTATTTAATTATCATACACTTTACTCAAATATGTATTGGTAATGTGAGAATAATAATCATTGTCTCTGTCATTCCAAAACTGCTAAGTCAATTTGCAAGTTAAGACATATGACTGAAAAATAACTCACAATACATGAAAGTGTCAGTCCTTATAGTGACTAATGCTATGGGAGGGAATTCAGAGGGAAACCACTTTAGAGTGACGTTTTGATGTATATAAAATGTTCTTTACCTAATGTTCCTAGCTTTTCATAGGCACTGAATTAAAGTTACTCTTAGAAGAAGTTATATGGATTTGGCCCTTGAAAAAGGACGTGCGTAAATATGAAAAAAGAGAAAAACGCTTTCAAGATAGAGGAAGAATCTGAGTTACACAATTTTATGTTAAACTATGTCCTCTCAATAAGGTAGGTTAAAGTCCTAAACCTATGACTATGACAGGATTTGGTCAGAATTGCTGCATAAGTCTTTAACTAAGATCAGATTATAGTGCTGTGGAAGCTTCGTCCAGTGTTACTGGTATTCTATAAGAAAAGGCCTCACCCCAAAGGCACACAGGCAGAAGACAGGTAAGTTGGAGGAAAGGCAAGCAGAGTGATGTTTCTGTGAGGTGAGACATAACAAGAGACCATGAGAAACAACAAAAGCAAAAGTGAGAGGTAATCTGCATCTCTACAGTTTGCAAAGGAAGCACAGCCCTGTATTGAAACGCCTTTTCCCATCCCTGTCCTGATCTGGGAAGTTTATATTTGTAATTCAATGGAATCATTATTGGAATTTTGGTGAGTTAATTCCAATCTACCACCTCCAGCACAACCAATGGTGAGAATAACAACATTAAGACATAGTTACAATTATGGGCAGCCAAGGAGTCGTGAGTCCTGTACAGTTGAGGGTTCATGGAACAAAAGCCTCAACCCAGGGCCTAACCCACAATGTATTAATTAGTGAAGAAGGGAGAGGCTAGAGGATGAGCGACAGTGAGAATGCTGGTAATCATGTGAGTGAAGTTAGCTGAGCTAGCTAGAAGGCCAGAAAGCGCCTTTGCAAAAAGCAGAGAGATTGTGCAGCAACACCAATCTGCATAACACAATTGAGATAGCATTTAATATTTAGGGTGTTGGTGCTTCATTTCTGACATGCAAACTTTTTCTGTCTTAGGAAGTCATAGCCTCTTATTTTGAGGCACAACCCAGTTGACAATCCTAGAGCTGTTGGCTCTGCCATCGCACTGGGATCAACCATTTAAAAAGAGACACGGGCAAGGAAACAGAGCTCCCACTTGGCTTCAAAGATTACACATCAGTACCTCAGCTGGCCCTATTTACATTGCTTCAAGCCAATTGAGGAGAAAAGGAAATAGCTTAGCCTGCTCTGTACATGTCAGTACATGGACTTAGGGTCAGGTTTAGCTAAAGTGGAGGTAATGGCTCTTTATTCAAGGAGAGCCATTCCAGTGGTCCTCTAAAACCCTGTCAACATTTTAATTTTGGAATCCAATTCCCCAGAACTGTGCAACAATAAATATTGGTTATTTAAGGCAGCCAACTTGTACTTTTTTAGCGCAACCACAGAAATATTATCCCCATGGAATCTAGGATAGTATAGCTATTTCTTTGGCTCTGTTTGAAATACAGTAATTTTATTTTTGACTATTTTTTTTTTACATTTTATGTTTCTGTTGAAAATGTTCTATATGAAAGAGAAGAAATTGTGCTGAAATTCTATTAATTATATCATATTTTATTCTACTAATAAAAAGTCTTTAAATTCAATAATAGTTTTTATAATAGACTATGTGGTAGACATTTAAATCTATGTTTACAGAAAATATTTTAAAATATGATCTTGAACCTCATAATGAGATTTTGGTCAGTGATGGGCTGGATACACAATGGTTGTCCCAAAGGATTTTGTCACCTTTTTTGTAGTAGCTTTGCATATATAAGCATACTCCTTTATGTTTGAACTAAAACAAAACCTCTTACATCATATACATTCATTGTTGTGATCAAGAACTAACAAGATAACAATAAGTAACGCACATAGGAAAGGGAACCTACTGATGGGGAGGAATTTGGAAGGAGAGGGGAAGGAAATAAAAAATAGTCAAGACGTTATATACAGGTACCTAGTACCTAAGGTAAATGTAAACTTTGAATACTACAAATGTGTATTAACAAAATAAAATTAAAAGCAGCATGAAATAAAATGGAAAATTGTTTAACGACACAATTCTTGTAAGATGCCTCCTTTGTTAAGTGGTACATAACTGCATTGCCCCAAATAGCATAATAGTAAATAACAAGGGCACGTATAAGTGTGCATATCAGTCATATTTAATGTATGTACTTATAACCACATACATAAAAGAAGAATGGAAAGAAAAAAAGAAACAATGTAGAAGGAACTATGGGAAGTAAGAATAGCAGTTCTCCTTAGACTTGAAAATAAACCTAGAAAATAATCTTTGAGAATAAATCTAGAACTTTACACATTCTTGGGAAAACAAAAGCAAAATCTTCTGATTGTTTAAAAAAGAAAAAAACTCATTCTGGTTTGTCTGTAACCATGACCGGTATATTAGTTGTTAAGGAAGTGTCGTTTTTGTCCACTACGGTACGGTAAAAACACCATGGGAATGTTTCATGCTTCCAACTTTATGTGTAATATATTTAGTAATATTTTAATTAACTTTGGTCTTCTAGGAAAAGCAAAAATGAAATCATGTGTTTATACAGAGTTCAGAACTACTGAAAGCATTAGTGTTTTGATAGTCTCAGAATTGCTTTTCCGTCACTGATTACACAGGTATGCACTATGGACAGGACATGCTCTGTAGCGATATTCGGGGAGACACTAATTCATGTCTCATCCCCTATGGGCATGGTGCTCTAGCTCTTTCCCTGAGCAAATTGATAAATATCTTGGGGGCAGAATTCAACTCAACTAGAGGTGAACATAAAGGCACCTCGCTTGCTTTATGTGTAGTGTTTCTGGTTTTATTTTTCTATTTTTCTACAATGTCTCTTGCTGTATGCATGCAGTTTCAGAGAATAATATTGCATAAAATATGTGGTCATCTAAACGCAGCATGGCTAGGCATTGATAGCTAGCATTTAAAGTGTGCTTTTCAAATTTCAGCTGAGACCTCCTTATACATAACTAGTTTAAAGATTTTGACTTAAATAATAGGTTGCTATGATGTGAAAAAATAAATCAGAATACAAAAATTACAGCTCTATGTTTAATTTAAAGTACAATAAAAAATAATCAGGTTTTAGATGATGAAGGTAGTAGTTCTTCAAATTTGTCTGTGGACTCCTATTTCGTACAGATACACTAGAGGCATAGCGAGGTAAAGTAATGCCTTAAATTGTCTTACAAAGTTTGTGGCAGCTCCAGGATGGAACAAAGGCCCTCTGCCTCTCAGGTGACGGGTTCTTTCCATTATATCATGCTCTGCTGTGATGATCTGACAGAGATATTCAAGCACAGGCACAATGACTGTCAGTCAACCTGAACATAATCCACTAAGTTATGCTAATTCCCATAAAAACTAAGATGACTCACGGGCGAAGGAATCCCCACTAGGATTCCATTCTTATGAATTTGCCCATTTATGGCAAATTCATCCTGCTCTTTGGAATCTTTTTGTTCTCTTTCTGCTATTCCTATTGTCAGAAACCCAGAAATCTCTAGGATTAAAGGAAGACCAAATGAGGAAAGGTGAAACAGAAATGGAAGTGGGGCTTTTTTTTTTTTTTTATTCCTAGGAGCTAGTCTTTGATGAGTCTTTCTGTAATAAATCAAACAGGCAAGATTTGAGATGACATGCCTGGCGTTCAGTAAGTCTCACAACCGTGAGTGCTAATGGGAGAAAGGGTCCGTTCTTAAACAGGTCAGAGGAAAGGGAAATTTGCATGTAATACAATTCTGGTAACAAGGGCTTTTCGTAGTCTAAAGCAATTTAGCAAATGCAAGATTATCATGGACTCAATGAGGCTTTAAATGTAATCAAAATGTGAAAAAAAATCCACTATTTTGGATAGCCAGTAAAGGTTATTACTAGTATTTCCAGTTCAATTTGTTAAAAAAGCTTTGAAATACTCAAAAAGATAAAAATCCTTTGTTTCTTCGGGAAAACTTGTTCTTTCTCTTTCTTTTGGGATAATGAAGGTGAGTGATCCTGTGGGAAAAAACAGCTATCAAAGAGTCGGCTGGAATGCTTGCCTCGATGACTTTTGTTTGGTAATGAAAAGGCCAAATTTAGAAAGGCAGTGAGACAATTTGGGTAATCTCTTGCCAAAAATATATCTCAGAGCTGCTTTTATTTTGTGTTCAGGAGACTAAAGGAGATAGGGAAACCTTCGTTTCTCAGACATCCCTCACATTTCTCCAAGGATTACTTTTCTTTCTAAAATGTAAATTTCATTACCTTGTGTCATCAGTTAAACTTTTCCCTATGACTGTCCATTAATTTTTAAAAATTTCATTAGTACTTGTTTGCAATACATGAACTTTACATTCATCTTAGGAAGAAGATAGATGTACCTAACACAGCTTGATTTTTAAAATTCTCCTTATTCCCACTCGCTCCCTCCTCCTTTCCTCACTTTCACCATCGTTATTACTAATATTATTGTTTTTAGTTCATATTTATGATGTGTATTATTTGAGTTCATTGTGGGCCTTTGGAACAGGTGCGGGATACCTTATATACTTTTACTTTTCCTTATCCACTCCTGAGTCCCCCACACACTCTTAAACTCCTTTGTATTTGCAAAAGATCTATTGACCCATTTCCTTCAATCAACTCTTTGCTTTGCTCCATTGAAATTCACAGTAAATTTAAATAAAAAAATAAATAAAACTTAAAAGTCATCAGTGTGTCTTTGCAGACAGACTACAGATCAAGGTCTCTCTCCTAATGCCATGCGACATTTGGATTTCACACATATCAGACTCTCCGTTCCCCTGGTGTATAAAGTGTCCTCACAAAAAGCAGTGCCTTTTCTCTTGAGGCATCCTTTCTGTCCTCCTCCACTGAGTGTCACTTTTTGGAAACCCTGTTCACTTGTCAGCTGTGGAACCTTTTCTTATTCACTCAGAAGCGTCTTCCATTGTGTTTGTAGCATGTATGCATTTATCCGTGGGATCTTAATGGCAGGGAACTTAAGACATGCACATGTAAGAGAGGATGCCAAGTGAATACTTCACATAATAGATGGTCAATGAATGCTTTAATAACAATGAATCCTTACACTTACAGAAGTTCACCTTCATTACACACAAAAAATATGCAGGAGTAGGAAAGATATCATGTGCTTCCCTGTTGGGTACTGGCAGCCTACTCAATGAATGTTGTCAAGCTAAAAGCAAAATAAAATGTAGCTTTGCAAGTTTAAAATAGTTATACCTATTAGGTTATGAAAAATAAATGCGATTCTGGGAGAACATGGCGGACAGATAACAGCAACTACCGGAGGCTCTCTGAAAGACTCGGCTCAGAAGCCAGGAATGGTGCGGACTAAGGAGACATGCTCTGCTGTGGAGATATGCTAAGCAAGTGGAGATATGCTCTGCTGACTCAGAAACGAACTGGGCTGAGAGAAGCCAACTTGGAATGCAGTCCTGGTGCTAAAACAGGAACAGAAAAGACTCGGTGTGGAGGCTGGAACCGCGCCATTGTAAGTCGCGATTTGGGTTTCCCGCCGCGCGGCGGCTGGCTGCCTCTACAGGGGCTCGGCAAGGAGAGAGACGCGCAGAAGCTCTGAGAACGGCAATCTGCGAACGGCAGGGAGGCGTGCACTGACTTGTGGTGAGGTGAGTGAGAGAAACTGACACTCTACCACAGTTTGACTCCAGCAGAGGACTTTCTGGGCCCGAGCAGTCCTGCGGGAGCAGGGCGCGGTGGCAACTCCTGCCACACATTCCCCTCTCGGACGGGATTGGTGAAAAGCGCCTGGCCTGCGTGATGCTGCCGGCGGACCTGGTAGGCTGTCCCAACTCAGATCCCAGAGCCTGACGGTGGCCGGGAGGGGAGACGCGTAGGCTGCCTGGTCCGTAACTCCCTGGTGCGCAGCGGTGAGCAGGAACACCTAACTGGCGCAATTCGATCAGGCTGTGACTGACTGGGAGAGAAGCTGGGCCTCTTATATAAGCTTGCATATATAAGGAACAGAGAAGAAGAGGCAGCATGGGAAGAGGCAGCAACAAGAAAGGCTCCTCGGCCCCCAATTCTGAGAAACAGGCAATAGCAGACACCGCACCAATACACATAAGGCACCATATAGAGAGCCTCATAGACCAATTCAGGAATGAAGTTATCAATGACCTGAAGCTAGAAGTATGCAGAATAGTTAGAGAAATGCTAAGTACCACCCAAGAAAAAACAGGTGGTGGAATGGAAGAACAGAAAAAAAGGGGAGAATTGTTGGATGGAGAAAACAGAGAAAGCATAGAATACGTGAAGCAGGTTCAAAGGGACTACCAAGATACTAAGAAGTCTATAGAAGACTGGCATAACAGCTTGAAAGAAACTAAGGACAGACTATCTGAACTGGAGGGCAGACTTGTAATATGGGAGAATGAAATGAAAAACTTCTTAAAAATAACAAAGAAACAAACAGCAATAATACAAGACAAGAAGATGATAAGAGGATCCATAACTTAAGGATTAAGAACATAAAAGAAGAAGTAGGGACACAAACAAGTGAACTACAAAAGCTACTCACAGAAATAATCCAGGAGAATTTTCCTAATTTAGCAAAGGGTAAAGATACTCAGATGTATGAGGCATATAGGACCCCAGCTACCTACAACCCAAACAGAGCAACACCCAGGCATATAATAATAAAAATTCCAGAAATTCAATACAAGAACAGAATATTAAAAGCTGTAAGAGACAAGAAACAGACCACTTACAAGGGAACACCCATCAGA